ATAGCCCAGTACATTTTTGTTTCACCACAGTTGGTCAAAGTTGAGGAAAAAATATCAGAAAGTTATAAATCATAAAATAGTCCTTATTTGATCATGGTTCCTTATTATCTTTCAACTTCATGCATTTGTATATGATAAAGCTAGAAGTATTTTATAGAAAAAATGAACAAAGTATAACCTGATTTGTACATGCAGCTAAAGATCGCAGATGAAAAGGTTCCTTTTTTAAAATTTAAGAAAAAATTCAATATCTCAAAAACGGTATCACTTTTATATATAGGTAAGTTTTTGTTATTTGGGAGGTCCGTCCAAAGCATACCTTCTCCTTAGGTTTGTCGTGGTACTTATTGGACACTCTGTATACGGGGTGTCTGCGAAAGGTTGGGAAATCTCGAAAGTGGAGATAATACAGACAAAAATATGTGAAATGACCTAAACATACCTTAGTCCAAAAGTTGATAGTTTGCGAGGTACAGGGTGTCAAAGTTACAATTTTATTTTCTATTTTTCCTTATTACTCAAGAAGTATTTCAGATTTAGATTTTGGCATACAACTCGGTGTAGGGAGGTTTTCTAGTATGAGAAACAAGAATTTGTTATTTTTTATGGCCAAACTTCTACAGGGCGCCACTTACAACACTATTTCGGTAAATAACTAACTTATCATAACTTTTTTGTGCTACCCTGTATACAAAATCTGATCGAAAAATCTTATTTTCTCGGATTTCCACAACAAAAAAGGTTTACTTGTTAGAAGTGTCTAAAGCTAATAGTTTTTGAGATATTTGTTGTAAAAATACGAGTAAATAATATTTTTCGATCAGTTGTTGTATACAGGGTAGCACAAAAAAGTTATGGTAAGTTATTTACCGAATAGTGCTGTAAGTGGCGCCCTCTAGAAGTTTGGTCATAAAAAATAACGGATTCTTGTTTCTCATACTAGAAAACCTCGCTATTCGGAGTTTTATGCCAAAATCTGAAATACTTCTCAAGCAATAATGAAAAATAGAAAATAAAATTGTAACTTTGCCACCCTGTATCTCGGAAACTATCAACTTTTGGCTTAAAAAGTATGTTTAGGTCAATTCACATATTTTGGTCTCCAGTTTCGAGATTTACCAACCTTTCGCAGACAATATATCAATGTATAGTTCGCAAATATTTGAATTTTGCAGTGTTCTAAAATGTCAGAGATATCATTTATATAAAGGGTGTCCCAGAAATAACTTGTCAGAGTGACACTGGAGGTAGATTGGCTTAAGACCAAACAGATAAAATCAACATGTCCTTTGTAAAAGTTAATTAGTTTTCGAGGTATTGCCACTTTAAAGTTTTTTCAAAAAATCCCGACTTTTTGCTCTTTTTTGCCTGTTTTGGATATAAAGAACTTCTAACTTCCTGGGCTACCAATAGTTGGTTGAGACAACCGAGTATTTATTTAATTGAAAACTAGCACGATATGCTGAAAAAAAACAAATTGTTACATTTGATTTCAAGGCAAAAACCATTTCTAAAGTTTTACTAATTGCTGTAAAAAAATGTACCAAACTGAATCAGCAAATTACTTTAAAAATTAGCTATTGAATGCTCTTTCCATATAGTATAACATTTGTATGTTCTACTAAAAACTGAATAATTCCATGTTTTGTCATTGAAGTCGTAATACTGGAGAAATGCTCCAAATAAAAAATAATGAATGCAGCTGCCTTTTCAGTCCAAATTACAACTTTGTAGTTGCTGTAATCGCCGTGCGCAGGTACCACCTGAATGTTGTAAAAATCAATGGAAATAAAAAATACAACCTAATGTTCTGTTCATTATTTAAATGCAAGCATACAACAAAAAAAGGATAATGGATAGATGTTTTAGACATTTGCTAAAATAAAAAGCGATCTCAGCAACTACAAAGTTGTAATTTGGACACAAAAGACAGCTGCATTTATAATTTTTATTTGTAGTATTTGGCAAGTATTACGACTTCAATGACAAAACTTGGAATTACTCAGTTTATAGTAAAAAGAACCTACAAATGTTATACTATTTTTGAAAGAGCAATAAATAGCTGATTTTTAAGGTCATTTACTGATTCAGTCTGGTACATTTTTTTTCACGGTAATTAGTAAAAGTTTTCGCCTTGAAACCAAATAATTTAGTTTTTTTAGCATACAATGCTAGCTTTCAATAAAATAAATGCTCGGTTCTCAACCAACTGTTAATGGTAGCGCAGGAAAAAATCATAAGTTCTATAGCCATCAAAAACAGGAGCAAAAAGTAGAGATTTTTTGAAAAAACTTGAAAGTGGCACTATCTTGAAAACTAGAAAACTTTTACTAGAGTCAAGTTAATTTTATCTAATTGATCTGAAGCCAATCGACATCCCATGTCACTCTGGCGTGTTATTTCTGGGAGACCCTGTATATACAGGGTGTAAACGTTATGATAGTCATTATTTGAATGGGTGATAGAGGGGGTTAAAAGAAGCAAAAAGTTTCATATAACATGGGGGTCAAAACGTATTAAAAAAAATCCACTTATAAATAGGGTACACAATTTTGATACATACATTGTTTTTCTTTTTAATTTAAAACCCACACTGCACTTTTTTGTATTTAAAGAAGGTGTTGAAAATGTCTTCCTCCACTTGTGAGTATTATGGAAATTTAATATCCCGTCTCGCGTAAAAGTACATTCGTCCGCCGCTAGAATGTTTTTAAAAAAATCCGGGTTTTCAATGTTTTTGTGCAAAAACCACTGACAGAATGTGGTAGGGATAAAGCAAATTTTCCCGTAGGATTCTATGGACTATGGTATGCGATAGTCCTACGCGGCGGCCTAATTTTCGAGTGCTGATATCTGCATTGATTTCCACGATATTTAAAATTTGTTCCTCCTGCTCTACAGTAACCTGTCTTTCACGAATGAGAATATTAGTGGGCTGAACAATTCCTGTATCTCGAAGTCTTTTATTGAGTTTAATGAGATGTACGAAATTATAAACCGCAATAAAGCGCATTTTTTAAAACTACGCTATGCGTCCCAGGATTTGAATGTGCTCGGGCGATAACGGAATAATGGCATACTTCCACCAAGATATGTAATATATTATATATTTTACCTGCAGTGTTGTATTGAAATTGTAACATGTGGTCATAGACAACCCTATGCAAGCGTAAGCCCAACTCCTGCAATACTGCTGATACATTGTTACCATCCAGTGTCGTGTTTATTTCTTTGATCATACCACTGACATAATTCAGAACAGATTTACATGCCTGAAAATCGTATAATCGTTTATCACTACGAAACATGAAACATAACACATTAATTTTCAAAAATGAATAGAAAATCAACAGCACATTGCTCAAACATGAGAATATCAGTGCTACCAAAATCTACTGATATTTGAAGTCCTAAATAAAACAATCCAAATTGAGACATCTATTGGATACGCGCACACGCGACGCATCTGAAGGATAAAAACATGATAAGACTATTTTGACGCATATAAAAATATCAGCTCAATTTAAAGCTGTTCAAAATAAAAATATCTTACAAAATTCAATATGAACTCCAGAAATGCCACGATGAATATTAATTGTTAGATTCTCCATGGAAGAGTACGGTTTTTACATGTCATCGACAATCAACCTTAGGCGAATGTCACACGATCAGTATTTACTGTGATCAACCAGTATTTATCATGGAATGTGATATTTATAGACCGCGTATTCAGCACGTCAGTAATTACTGATGCATAAGGTTAAGTATAAATCCACTGACACTGTCAGAATAATCAGTAAATACTGATGGTTACAGATGGTACAGACCACAGTAAAAACTGATTGTGTGACATTCGCGTCAAGACTTACAGGAGATGCAACTGTGTCAAAATCATCAGTATCAGGCTTAAAATCGCTTTTCTTCTGCTCGGACTGTAAATACAGCTTTACCCAAGTAGTCACAGCATTTAAACATCTGCAAACAAAATACCATGAATACTTGGATCATATTTAGAATGTGCAATTCATACAAGACTTTTAAAGCAATTCTTATATGTCGTTGCGATTCTGTCATGGTAAAGGATTTCTTTCAAATAAAAAACACCGATGATTAAGAAACATTATCAAAATATTATGGAAAGGACATTTTCTGTAGCCAGCGAATGGTTAAAATGAGTGTCGTATCACATACTTACCTATCCAAGCCAGTATTGATCTTCCTTTCTGTGTCTTCCAATACAAATTTTTTCTTTTGTAGGCAGTCGTTATATTTTTGAGTATTTCTGCAATCAGTCAAAACATATATTATTATCTTGCTGCGTCGCGCCAAAAGGTATTTTCTATTTCAGAAGTTGCTATATTTGAAATCTATACGTAAATATGCCTTGGAAGGTTTTAATTTGTACGTCTACTACTTAAAGTAACCATGAGTCTGTTAAGGAGCATTTCATACCTTCTGGTATCAGTGACAGAAATATGCAGCAAACAAAAAATAGGCGCCAAAAAACACTTAAAAAGCCTTCCGATGTACCTGAGAATGGCTAAAATGCTCTGCATATATTTATCGCGTTTCATTGTGAAGACTATCAAGCCTTTATCAATATTCAGCTGTATACCAATACTCGTTATCATTATATTATTCAACTACACAATATCCAATCGGTACGTAATGTTCTGTGACTCATTCCAGTTGAAACGCAAAATCAACACATCGATATTTTTTTCTAATCGCCCTAAACTATAAACAGACCAAAAACATCAAATATTTTCCGATCTACCCGGCTGACCAAGATTGTGCATGTTCTTTGCAATCAGTTTGCTTTGAATCTTTGACTGCTTTAGGGTAAATGTCGTTTCGCGCGTTGCGTCAGGCGATCTTATATTTTTTTATTCTCTGAAGCAAATTTATCTAAAAAATAGTTCCGGTTATCATAATTGGGCACTGTGAGTGATCGAGAGATTGTTGCTATAAATTTATTGCAACCGATTCAGCAATATGCAGGACAATAAACATATTTTGTGTGGTTATACGAGCTAGAACTTATTGCAGGGAAAATTCGTTGGCCTTCTCTTCTCTCTGGTGGTAGCGGTATACGGTGAAGCTGTCTTGTAGATAAATAATGTGAAGTAACATGGTACTAACCTACAGATGCCGCCTTCCAGAGACTTGGATGCTTGCCAAGTGGTTTTTTTAATTACCACACACATTATCGATTGGCTGAGTCGAAAAGTGGAATGATAGAATGATGATTATTTTACACTTATTGGAACACTAGCGACACAATAGGTATAAAATGAACACTTACTCGACTAGTGGGACCACCAAGTCCATGAACTGCTTCTCAACCAAATGTGTGATATTGTTAGCTTGGTAAACAATGGTGAAAAAGTATACAACAGGCGGATTTTTTGTTCCTTCCACCACTGGTATAGCTTGCAGGCCCAATTCTACAGCATAGTCGACGTGTTCTATCAATAAGCTATTTATGAGTCTATCCAAAATTTGGGTAGCATTTGCAGCTCGCTCATTTGGCTTGGAAAGCTGGATAAAATAGTAATTTATATTTTATGGTAGTATTAGGAACTCACAGACATATACATATTTAGGATACAGATACACGATTATACTTGATACTATATATTAAGGTGCCCCACGCAAAGACTAAGACAGGAGACCGTGACGCAACAAGAGAATTGAATAATATAAAGGGCATCCCAAAATGTAGACAAGATTTGAAACAAATAGAGTGTTTAGCTTTAAATTGTTATTTACCAACTGAATCATAAAGTACACAGAATAGAGGTGCATGCTCATCCAGAGGAAGGGAAGCAACTTGGCGCGTAAAAATGTCACTCGATAATGCTTGAAATAAGGGCTGCCTCTCTAAGACTTCGAACATTGTTGATTGATAGTTTCGCGCGACACAAATCGCTTCTAATCCCCTCAATTGGCGTGCACCTTTAGGTTATGTTATGCAATAACACTTTAGGAAAAGAGCCTCATCGGCCTTCTATTTCATAACCATGTTGCGTAAAAATGTGGGTAAATTCCGTTGGTACACATTGGGTTTCCTCCATCAATGCACGACTGCTTGTTGACTTCGTTCAGCTGTATTTGAGTAACGTGATGTGGATAACATGTAGTTTCAAGAGATGCCATACAGCGCCCGGGATAATTCAATTACTGCGCGAGGCATTTCCTGGTCGTTTACTCTCTCGTTTCGGTGATCAAGGTTAGCCACTTGAACCATTTGACGTAACACCATTGGGTTCATTGTTATCGGGCTATTAGAAGGCAAAGATTACATGCATGGAATATGAAATTCAACTGTGCCTCACCGAAATTCAGCAACATTCATGCAAAATACCTTGAAAAGCTTCGACAAAAGAGTGCTTATGTGCCAGCAATGTTGTGGAGGCAATTTGATTCTGAACTATGTAATTTATCATTCAATAAACAACAATCTAAAGCACTTTTCTATTTAAATAATTTTGGGACAACCTTTTGAATATTTCACAGACATCGACAGATTTTCTGTACGAGTGAGTATGCCACAAGTCTTGCGATTCGGTCTGTGCCGAGTGTCGAGCGTTTTCGGGTATCTGTTCATCAAAACATAAACTGGTTTTAGTTTGAATTTACCAGCTGGCATCTCTCAAATGCATGCTTTGTATCTTGCAGTATCACGATAGCAAGTTCTTCTGACAAAAAAGTCTCTCCTCCATAGTTCTCAATCTGAGCAATGTTAATGTTAGCTCTGGTTCCTATAACTGCTTGAAGATCCCTCCGCAAATCCTGGAAGCTGTTGCAAACATAAAATACAATTTATCTCCTATACTAATATAATTACCCGCCAGACTGAATTTGCTTCTTCTGGTGGCCTTTTGATTCATAATATTTTTGGAGATTAGCAGAGCACCTTTCTTTAAGACATTTCAGTTCCATCCTAATTTAAAAAATATCAGCATGAATTATATGTAGTTGTCTAATTAAAACATTAATCAACGGAAAACTTCTACACTGAATATATGCACTCAATGACTAACTAGTCAACGGCTTTGAAAAAGACTTACGTGATGTAATCACTAATATGTTTGTTGAAGATATTTGTTGTCAGTTTTATCAAAAAGTTTTTGTCATTTCCCATATTAAATATACCCAAATCATTCGATAACTGGTTAGTCCTGCAAAAAGGTATAGGGTATTTGCGTTCTAATCCAATGGTTTTGTTCAGCCAATTATATTAACTTATTGACATTCTTACTCTTCAGTATATTATACAAGCAATAATAATGACCATAGAAGAACAAGAGCATTCAGAAACACAACAACATTAATAAACCATCAATCTAATATAAAAAACTACTTACTTAGAGTATAGTTCAAATAAAGTTTGCAAATATCCATATGTTCCAAGCTTAGAGTTCAGTTTCTGCTCTATGTATTCGGCAATTTTTAACTGATAGAGATTCAATACAAATTTAGCCATTACTTGATCTGGATTACTGAATACCTTTTGGATAATTTCATAATTATATTCACATAAAGACAATAGGTGTGCAAACATATCCTTGCCGGACAAACAGTTCTGGAAATTATAATAAAGTAAAGAAGCAATAGTAGCAGTGAGACTGTTACATAAAAAAATAGGTGGAATATAGCAGTGCCTGCTCATGGAGAACATTTTGTATTGGACTTTTTCCAGGTTTTTAAGAAGTTTACTTACTACTTGGCTGTAGTCAATGTAAGCATCAACACATTGGGAGTATCCTTTGAACTGTGACAAAACAACAGCTATTTCCTTCATTCTTTTTTTATCACCCTTTTCCATTGCCCTGACAAATTCTTCAATCAATAATTTTTCAATATCACAATATTTTCTTTCTATTTTCCTTTTTACATTATCAAATCTATGAAAGAAACAGTGCGTCAGTATTCATAGACTAATCTAAATCTAATCTAATCACATGAGAAAATAACGTGCCTCAATACTCACTTCTGTGGGAAATCTTGAGATATTAAGTACAATTTCTGGATAACATCAGCAGCTTCATCAATCTAAAACTCAACAATTGATTCTGAAGTTTATTTTCATTTACGATTTTATTTTTATTTACTCATTTATGCTATCTTAATACAGATCTGGACCTCAGAGCTAGATTATGTCAAGTCCAAATAAGTACGAGGGCCATTTTTAAAGCAAGAACCACACAGGTATTAAGTGAAAAATCGATATAATGTTAACTTGAGTACTAAGTAGTCGCCCATTCCATTCCGCGTCTACTCGCTAATGCGCTACCTATGGAGGATTGGAAAAACGAACATAAAAGCTATGAATGGATTCCATTAGTCCCGTCTTTGAAGCAGATGTTGCATTACATTAGAGCCAAACCATATAGATCAAGTGTTACGATGTTTATGCAACACGCACAACTACCAGAAGTGAACATGAAGTGACCGACAGCTAGTTCCAACGTGACATTTTTTCTGGGTAACTTACATCATGTCATGAAAAATCGTTATAATATCACTTTATAGGTTGCGTAACACCGCAGGATTATCATGTGAAAAAACCTAAAAAACGTCAAAAAAACTAAAAAAATGTCAACTTGCTGCCTATACCCTGTTTCACGGGTATCCATCTCGCTTTGACGTCTACTGAGGTGAACAGTTGATCAGCAAGTGACATTTTTGTGTTAGTATGCAACGTTGGCAATAATGAACCGGGTATAAACGTAGTTTGTAGCGTTTTGTTTTTTGTATGTAAATGAACTTTTCTAAATAAAAGAGCTTTTAGCAAGTACAAAATGAATCTGTAGCGTACAAAAAATGAAAACAAAATATGGATCTGTCTACCTGGCATTGACGGATCCGTTAGAATTACGTGTCCTGTGCCGATATGAGAAATTTTGAGATATTACTAGATAATCGGCTGTCATTCTACCGTGATGGATACTCGTGAAATAGGGTATAGATAGGTCCTAGTGTGCAAATAGTACATTGCGCGTTTTCTCGCTATGAGCGCTGTCAGTGTCGATCTATGGAGGAATGACGACACGTCACGCTCGATGACCATGCTGCAAGCATGCTTTGTTGGTTGGAGAATGCCGAGATATAGAGAGAGTCTCTTAGAATATGTGTGGTTGATTAGCAAGATCATATCTGGACGATTGTGTGTATTAGTCTACATGTGTATGAAATCAGTGATATTTGCTATGTGATAAAATTATTACATTGTCAAAAACTGAGAAGCATTACGGAAAATCCGCATCCGCTCTATGTGTAATTAAACCATATCACAGAAAAATTGGGAATGACGTGAAACGCGCTTGGAAGTTGATATGTTGAAAGAAAGATGCACTAACTGGTTTAACGATTAGGTGGCAACGTTTTTTCTCACGAATTGACAAATGTTTATGATGACTGAAAAATGTAAAAATGTTCATATTTTAGTGTGTTGTACAATTTACATTCATAAAGTTTTCCTGAATACATTACAAAGCAGTTCTTACTTGCAAAATGATCCTCGTAGTAGTATTTTTCTTGTATTAAATTGTATGCATAAGTCGTAACTTCCTTATTATTACAGGTAGGTGGATGCTGCAAGTAGCAAATGAAAATTTACAATTTAATCATAAATCCATATAAAACTCGTTTTAATTAAAAAAAAAAATTTTTTTTAGTTACATTGTAAAAGTTCTAGTGGTAGTGGGTAGTCATCAGAACATGGATATGTCATTATTTTGTGACACAAAGAGACTAAAGACACAAATATTTTTCTCACCCTATATGGGTCAGTGAATACAGATGAAACTAAAGGTCCTGTTGACAGAAATTCGGACAAGTGACCCAGTAGACGATGTGCTTCAACTACTCTAGATCTAGGCCCATTCACACTATCCAACTGGTCACCTAAGTGCAATACTTTAGTAGCAACGGTATTTATTTTGCCATCTAATTCTTGAAATGTCAGCATTGCTTGCTGAAATTAGAAATATCTGTTGAATAATTTTGAAATACTTTTTTACAAGCTGGACCTGTTAGGCCCGATTTTTCAATCGCAGGCTGACTTTCAAGTTAGGTAACTATAACTTGGAAGTTAACTATCAGTTGTCTGTAGTTTTTCAAGTTCAGGTTAACTAACCCTTAACTATTAATGCGCCAATGCTGCTTTTACGTCTGAACTATCCTGTTCTGCGTGTGGTGCACGCTACTTTTGTCTCGTGTCATCCGCGGCAGCTCATCACAGACAGGCAAAATAGGTTCGACATTGCGGTATATAAATACACCCTATAACTTTTTAGTTGGCCCAGTGACGACCTCTGGTTAAAGTTAACTACCGTTTTTGAATGAACTTTACATCGAGTGTTAACTTCTCGTTAGCAGGAAAGTTACAGTTAACCTGCGATTGAAAACTAAGTATGTTAGCGTGAGACAAATCGTGAAACTGAATTTTGGACCAGTTAACCTTAACCAATTGGAATGAAATTCTATATACACGCTTGGTTCTCATGATAATACACAATACATTAAAAGCTTCCATTTTAAATCCAATATTTCGGATGCTACAAAATGACGATTTATCATGTGCATAGTAACCTCAATGATTTGTGTATCAAATGAAGGGGCTTGATATGCAAAACACAATTAGCAAAGTGACGTCATTCTGAATCCAATATGGCGGCCGCCGCGAAAAAGCCATTCCAAGTTCAATATGGCGGACGTCTAGGATCAGGTGATGGATATAAAGTGACGCAAACCCATCGGGTTAATAAATACTCAACTAAAATAACCATATCAAAATTCAGCTTTTTAACATTTAGATAGTTTGCTAAAATAAAGGTCTGCTTTATTGCTTTGGTCAATTGAACAAACATACTTATAGATATAGGTAAGTGCATCTCCCATATACAGGGTGTCCTAAAATTGAAGGATATTCCTACCAGTAAGGATAGGTCACGTCATGGCCTACTGGATGGTAAGATTTTTGTGATTGTTATTCGCCCTATGCTGTTTTTTTTTTAGTTTGATTGCGATTTTAATGGAGAAGAGTCAGTTTTCTCAGATATCAGAAAATAATTTATGGCTTGGAGACAAAAAAAATGGACAGGATTGACGTTAAATGATAATTTTTATTTAAGATATCAATGTAATGATCACCAGTGACTGTTATACATGACCTAATAGATGGTAAACATTTTGCCATAAAACATTTTTTCAACTTCCAAACAATAACCGACCGAATGCTCGAGGATCCCTCAATTTTGGAAATCAATTCTGTTACTGTGGTCAGCACAGCTTGGTATACAAATGCTCTAAAGCAACCCTAATAAAAAAATTTAGTGTATTTAGGACCAACGATCTTGCTGGCAATGAAATAACGCGCCGCCCATCCTGATCCACCTTTATGAATGTTGTATTTTTGTAATTGAAGTGGTCTCGATTTGACCGAGTGTGATGTGCCGGAGTATTATTTAGTATTATGTTGCAGCAGATATGTTTGCCTTATTTACAGACGTGAGGGTTTGTCTTAGAAACTCCGACTTCAGAATAATTTCTTTATGGCTTCTCCTAAGTACAGCATAATGCTGTTAGGGATAAAACACTCAATTATGATAATACTTCGCCACATCACTTCACTCAGAACCTCCTCGTCGACATCCATCCGAGGATGCAATTTTCACCTCTTCTACTGCCAATTCCTCTTCTCGGTAACCTGCCTTCTGAGTATGCTCGATGAACGTTAATGAAAACACTGTAACCGGACGGATGTCGGAAGAGCAGAAAAATATACATAATACTGGAAATAAAACCACTTTACCGCTTTTATAGCGATGCACTGGCAGTCCCCGTAAATGAGATGCATATCTGCGTACCCGCTAATCATAAACACGTATCGGCACTGAACAACTACTAAATTTTAAAAGTACAAAACTTAGGAACAAGGTATCCAATCTGCTTCTTCTAAGGTTCATTTGAGTTTGTCATTCGGTCAGATCGAGACCACTCCAATTACAAAAATGCAACATTCATAAAGGTGGATCAGGCTGCGCGGCCTTATTTGATTGCCACCAAGATCGTTGGACCATCCACTAATTTTTTCATTAGGGTTGCTTTAGAAAATTTGTATACCAAGCCGTGCTGGCTACAGTAACAGAATTGAGTTTCAAAATTGAGGCAACCTCGAGCATTCCAGCGGTTTCTTTTGTAGCTTAAAAAAATATTTTATGACATAATGTAGGTCATGCTTAACATTTTTTTGTATCGAAGCCAAACCCAGTGAACATGATGGCGCCAAAACGACGTCATCATTCGGTCACTTTGGGTCAGAATCGTCATTGACTAAAAAATGACGTCTTTATAGACGTCGTTTTTATGACGACAACAAGACGTCCTATCAAAGGCTGTCATTTTGACTTCTGTTTTAGGACAGTCTGTACTGAAAAAACAACACTTACCTAAACAGAAAATACAGACTTTTGATGAACAGTAAGGTAAACTACATACCCAACAACTTCTGTATTGTTATTTATAAAAAAGTAACAGGAATTCTTCGACCAAAAATAACTTGTTAATATAACCTTTCTAATAATCATATTTCATGTTCAGATATTTAAAATTGCCATTTTACATAATGTTTTATTCCCTTAAATAACAAGTTTATAAGAAACTCCTCTGTATAAGAATAAACAAGTTTCACTAGACTATTTGTAATCAAGCGCCGTAAAAATTCAAATTTTGGACCGTTGTATCATTCAACCGATCATCAGTGAAGAAGCACGATTGTTCTTGGCGGTGAGCTCGACTGATGTCCAAGCTCCATGCGTTCGCCGTTTGGCAATCGTTCAGTCATTTTGGTTTATAAACCTATGGGTTTGACCGGCACCATGATTGCTTCGTCGTGTTTAAGGTACATGGTAATAAAAATTTATTGAGGACGATAGTATTGCTACACAGTCAATAAGGCTTGGGTGACATCCAGGAAACACTAAGTGTTTTGACTTCCTGTGATAAAGCAAAGCGATTCAACAAGCAAATTCTGAACCATCGGAGGAGTGGAACGTGTTTGAGATCAAACGGTGTTTTTTAGTTCTTTATTAACCATTTCGATATACTTTGTACAAATGCTCCCGAGTGGTGGGTATGTAGAATATGAGTTTCGGCGTTTTTAAAGATGTTTTTTACCTTTTATTTGTATGGTATTACCTGATTCTGCTCAAACAAATTATAAACTTCTTGAAAAAACAATGCCTCATCTTCCCTGACAGCATTTTCCAATTTTTCACATTTTTTCTGTTGCCGTTCTTGTAAAAGTGTCAAGTCCCTACAAAATATGTTATATTCAGATATTTATACACTGAGAACCAAATTTCAATGTGTACGAGAGAGAAGCGTGTATTGACACAAATGTTAGAAATAGATAGAAGGCCGCTGGATAGCCAAGCTCATCAATTCGTTGGCAATATGTTACACCAGTTCCATGTTAAAAATATGCGTTAGTTTATTCTCCACGACCAAATAATGACTTTGAGCGTACACATTTTTTTAGTTGTGTCGAATCTGTTTAGGATCGATTCCAGATCAGCCCTAACTGCGTTCAAATGTAGGTCGAAATTAAAGGTCAGGATTGCCACAAATTCTGCAACAATGCATCATTGGCTCGCTTGGCAACATCGCATCTTGTACATTCCCAAGGCAAGTTTTCCACCTCCATGAAAATTTGAGAATAACTCAGGATGTGTTGATTTTATCACCATGAGTGAAAATCAAAGATAATAAATTCTGAAAAAAAAAACGGGGCTGCATCAAAATTGTAATAAATAATTCTAATCAAAATGAAAGCAAAATATTGAATCAAATGTTCGAACCGACCTTCTTGGGTTTGACAGTAACCTAACCTACTGTAGAAGCTTGTGCGAATATTTTCTGGTGTAACATGGCAGATTGCATGACCTTCTGCGTTACCCTTGCAATGTGGTGATGACCTTTGCTCTTTAGCTGGCTCCTTTCTCTTTCTAACATGTGTTGCTAGTGTTGATACACACTTCTCATGCTTTTCTCTCGTGCACATTGAACTCAAGGCATATGTGTCAAATTTGCTGCCACACTGCATTTTAAGTTTCTCCTGATTTCCCTTTTGCTATGAGTATGCTACATTGCCCAGTTGTAGCTCCAAATACTTTCTTCAAGATTCCAAGGCAATTAATTTCCAAGCTGCCATGCCTTATTTCTGTTTTCTTACCCATCACATTAAAATAATAGCTCTCCAGCTTGAAACTTTACTCTAAGTTCATGTTTTCTCTTTGTTATCCAAAGTTTGTCACATATAGCCAATCTGAAGTTGGCAATTTTATCAATGATTTATGTTTTAAGGGGTTAATAGAATGAGGTAAGGAATCAAATTTTGACACATCAAGATAGTATCTGGAGAGGTGCTATTAAAATGTCTTTTGGTTATGTAAAACAGTATCAGGCAGGGCTGCATTCATAAATTGTTGCAGAGTGTGCTTTGTAATAATCTGTAACAATTTTGACGTTCGTAATTGTTTGACATACAAATTACTTGCGTGCAGAATTAGAACAACATAATCCTTCTGAAACATCAAAGGTGTGCTTTTCTTCCTGAGCTCAAAACCTTGAGAATAAAAGTTTTGTCACTTGTCATTCTCATGATTCATTGTTTGTTTATTTTGTTTGGTTATCAAAAACTGCTCAAAATTGGCTGAAGATAGGTTTCTCATGATAATTGCTACCCTATATCTCTAGGGTCTCTTATAATAGTGGTTGCTAAATACGTGGTTAGAAATTAGTTGACTGTCATCAAGTGTCATTACATGACTCCGTAATAATTTAGGCGTTCTAAAAACAAATTTTCACAGTATTCCAGAGTAAAATTTCATCTGTCAATCTACATTCCATTACTATGTATGGTATTCCATTGCCAAGTGATTTACAAACACACCCCAGCAGAGTCAAGGATGATACATTTGTATCATACTGACACATATGTGGCTTAAGTTTCATACTCTGTATACATCAGGAGCAATTAAAGAAACCTTAGTTCGATCCTCATCCTGTATTGACAACAGGTTATACAATATGCCTGATGATTTCAACATCAATTTGGCCCTAATGAACAAAGACAATATTTCGTATTCTCAGGAGATTCTATATCAATGTTTATTATACATGTGAATACCCAATAATGAATCTATCCAACTCCTTCACCTGGTGAAATGGGATTGTAGCTAGTATTTACATCAAATGAAGATTGACATTAAGTACTTCAAACAACACAGTTTTCTGTATTTCCCATTATGATGAGAAACTAAATAATAACCTACTTGATAGCTTGCACAAAAGATTCATGTAACAGGGTAGGATTAAAATCTTCATCATCAGAGCCTTCGTGTTTTGTTTCTGCTATAGTTCTCCATGCTAACCGTTCTACAAACTCTTCAGCTTCAAAAGGCTCCTATAAGTCAATTGGTGTCTTTTATCAAAAGGTTTCCAAACTTGGGTGCTTCGCCTACCTGCTCTAATTCTTTCATATATTGCTGCATCATTTTGGCGGGCTTTTTTGTATCTAGGCCCAACTCCTTCAATATTTGCCCGTGTAGGTATGATTTATGATTTCAGTGTTAATTAGCTGTCCATAATCATTTGTTTTTGTTTTCAAAAATCCTGTCTGCCTGTCACACTTGACACGTTTAGGTTATGTTCACTTCTCTCACTCATCGCCAGCGTTGCCAGATTTGTTGCTAGGAATTATACAAGCACCTCGGAATTATCCTAAGTACAGGGTGGCCAATATATAACATACTGATTTAAATTGCGCACCATTTTTGATACACACATTCCAGTAGGTGGCGCCGTAGTAGTTGCTTAAAGGACATGCGTCCAATTCATCATGGAGCGATACACGATCCCACAACGCTTCCGCAATGTTAAAACGCGTTACGTAAATAACGAGTCGATTGTTGCAACGATTCGGAAGCTACAAGATTTCGGTCGAAATAATGTGCCCAGTGTCAACACCATTCGTCAGTTGGTACGGAAATTTGAACAAACAGGTGAAGTTAAAGACTTCGTGAAAGTGTAGTGGAGCGCCCTGAGACGTCTACCAGACATCGTTCTCAAGAACTGGGTATTCGTCGCACGTCATTATGAACTATTTTGAAAAAAGACTTGCCTTTGCGACCATACAAAATTCAGTTAACTCAAAAACTACAGCCTAGTGACCATGAAAGTTGCCAACAATAGGTAATTCTCTTACTGTCACTGGCGAGCGCTACCCTGATATAATGCAAAACTTTCTGGCTTCTCAAATCCAACAATTTAACCTGCAAAATATGTGGTTCAAGCAGGACGGAGCAACTTGTCACACAGCTAGGGAACAATGAATCTTTTGCTAACAATAATTCCGGGACGTTTAATTTCTCGATTTGGTGATGTCAACTGGGGATTTTTGAAAAATAGGGTTTATACCAACCAACCAAATACGAGGGATGTCTTTTAAGTTTTGCATATAGAAACATAGGCGGCGCGGATCGAACGTCAGTACTGATTCTTGAACTCACTCTTTAGTAAACTTAAATTCGAAGTTTCACAACAATACGTGCAGTGTTCTCACTACAGTGAATTTTTAAGTGTCACCAAGTCATTAGAAAAATGGAACTCAACCAAGAACATTTTCGCGCCATAATTTATTACAACTTTCAGAGACGATTATCGCAACAAGAATGCCTTGCTGAGTTACTGTCTGTTTTCGGCAATGAAGCGCCACATCAGTCGACAATTTCCCGTTAGTATGGAGTATTCAAACGTGGACGGGTGAGTCTTAGTGACGATCCCAGGGTGGATGCACCAAAAATGGCAGTCACCCAGGAAAATGTCGATGCTGTGCGCAAACTCATCATTGAAGATAGACATGTGACATATCGCGAGATTGAGGCGTCCTTGAAGATCTCAAAGACATCAATTCAAAAAATTTTACATGAAGAATTAGGAGTAAGAAAATTAGTTTCTCGTTGGATACCCCACCTCTTGACTGAAGAGCAGAAAGAAGTCAGGGTTATTTGGTGGCAAAAAACGCTTGATCGTTTCAATTCCGGAAACTCAAAAAATGTGTACAGCATTGTTAGTAGTGATGAATCGTGGATTTACTGTTATGAACCAGAAAATAAACGACAGTCGGCTGTTTGAGTGTTCCAAGGTGAAGAAAAGTCAACAAAAGTCGCCCGTCCTCGAAGTGTTTCAAAAAAGATGGTCGCAACATTTGTGTCATATTGCAGCAATTTCTCTTAATGAGCAAAGAACTGTTACTGCGGATTGGTATACCACCATTTGTTTGGCAAAAGTCATCATCGAGCTCCAAAACATCAACCCCGAAAGAAGAATCATCCTCCACCAAGACAATGCAAGCTCGCACACAGCCCAAAAAACAAGGCAGTATTTAACGGAAGAAAACGTGGAATTATTGGACCATCCTCCATATAGTCCCGATTTCTTTACTTTCCCGAAAATTAAAGGCAGACTGCGTGGTCAAAGGTTCCAGTCACCAGAAGAAGCAGTTGATGCATTGAAAAATGCCGTTTTGGATCTGCCAGCAAACGAGTGGAATAAGTGCTTCGAAAATTGGTTCGAGCGCATCCAGACGTGTATTAATCTTCGTGGAGAATACTTTGAAAAGTCATTTAAAACAACCTACCGTGTTGTTTTATTTCCATATGCAAAACTTAAAAGACATCCCTCGTACTGTAGCAACTGAAGAACAATATTACGGAAGCGATTGAAAATATTCCTCCCGAGACCTAAAAAAAAGTATTGGTAAATGTAATCAAAATAGCTCAGGTTTGCGCGGCTTCTAGGCGCGGACATTTGTTCGATATTATTTTTCATACATAATTTCTAAGTTTCAATAAAATATTAAGATAAAAAAAATGGACGTCAGTTACATATCGGCCATCCTGTATAAGGGATATTTTAGACTCACCGCTTACCGTCGCCATATAAAATGATGAAAGAGGTTATGGAATTTCAACTAAGACATATTGAGAAAAATAATCGAGCCCCGGAGAAACAATGTGGCTTCAGAAGCGGACACAGCTGCACGACAGCATTTCTGAACATTGTTGCTGAAGGCTTAGGAGCTATTGATGATGGAAGTAGGATGGCATTAGTGCTGCTTGACTTCAGGAAAGCATCCGATACCATTATATCACAGGATTTTAGAGATATTACAATCTTGGGATGTTTTAATGCTGAGTCACCTGCGCTAATGAACTCATATTTTCAAAATCGTAATGAACAAGTTATACTTTTTGGCAAACTATAATTTAGCATTTATCTTCGTTGTGCCTCAAGGATCAAAGATTAGGCAATCACTGATCACTATTTACACTACATACTTCACCATCGTAAAATACGTATGTGCGTTGACGATACTCAATTTAAAGATGATGATGTACATTTGGTAGAGCAAAAAATAACTATATGGCTTGTGAATAATTTTTCATTTACATTAAAACAACATTGTTTATTATTTTATCCGAAAAAGTCCACTCTTCTTTTCTTCGAGAGAACTTTATGTGAAAGTTTTGTACTATCACCGATCTCGACCTTCCACCTTATACCATAGAGGTTTGGATCGAGAAAGTCTCAGAAAAATTATAATTGTCCAAAATTCTTCTGTTGGCATGGCATCAGAGAATATGATCACATTTCGAAAAAAAATTCAGAAACAAAATGGCTCAATATGGGAAGCATTTAAAGTTTCAGCGATTACCTTTTGTCATAAATTAATTACCTAAATGATACCTTCCTATCTACACAAAAAAATAACATTTGAAACAGAAGTTCACAGCATTTATATTAGATGCAAAGCTTTTATAATCCCTCTAGCCTCCGACCCACTACCACTATAGGTACATAATGAAATGAGCTTCAGCTACCAACAACATGACTCATCAGTTTGTCGTGCTAAAAGACCTCACATTTACGAAGACAATTAAATCTTACATTTTTAAAAAACAGCAAGACTAAAATTAATACGATGTATATATTCATTTTGTATCGTCATTCTACTCATACTTTCTGTTATTTGTAACATTTTTTTTTTGTATCTTTCTAAGATTGAGTGAAACAAAACACAATTTAATGTTGCCTTTTGGTTAATCCAATAAACACAGTTATTATTACTATTTAAGCTATTCTCGTACATCCTTCAATGCTTGAAATTGTCGTACAAACACGTTATTATCGTACTTCTGGCAACGTTGCTGGCGGTGTCATAGATTGTACGGCTGCACAGAAAGCGATTTCTGCGATGCTGGCGAGATCGCGATCGAGTATTTCGAGCAGTGTTGCCAGAAGTAGCGGAATTCCGCTACTGGTAGCGGAATTTTCAAGTGGCAGCGGCGTAGCGGCGGAATCGGATTTTTTGTTAAAAGTAGCATAATTTTGCAATTTAGGTACATATGATGACATATTTTCACCAGATAAAAGAATGAGTAATTAATGTACAGTTAGTAACCAAATCTAAATACAGGTATCTTTCCAATCGACAGTGGTAACCACCGGCAGGTAATTCTTATTCAACGAGAATTAAATGAAAATGTTTCTTTATCATGTGTGAGCACTATGTCACACACACACACACGCACGCACGCACGCACGCACGCACGCACTCCATACGTCTATCTTCTTTGGTTTATATCATGTACCCAACTATTTCTCTTATTATTATATAATTTAAAGGAAATATTATTTTCTAATTGCAGCAATTTTTTAGCACGATGTGTCGGAGGAGACATTTTGTAAGTATCTATTTGCTTCCGAACAAAAACAATATCGAAGGATTGTGTGTGTCATTCCTGTCTAATTTTATACCTACCAATAGGTATTTTGTAATACCGTATATTAGGTAGGTATTATACAGGGTGTTTTCAAGTCATTTATTTTAACAGCTTGTAGAACTCGTCAAAAGGAGGTGATATACCAAAAATCACCTAAGTATATAAAAGTTGCATAATAAAAGATAAGAAATTTAAAAAAATAAGAATGTTAATAGAGCAATTATCCTCCTGAAAGGAAGAAAATTGATATTTCGGGTCTTGCCATAGGCCTGATCGTTGAGATTACCCTCTTCATTTACAGCGTTGTAAGTGGGGAATCCCTCCTTTCCTCTCCACTTTACTTACCCTATTGTAGCATCCCAACACCTACGCCCATGAGTATCCCCCTCCTCGCGCAGTGGTGCCATTTCTAGAGAATTCTCCCTAGTTCTAGGGAGAATTTACGATGTTTTCTAGTTCTAGGGACTTTTAGCAAAAGGGAAATTCTAGGGATTTTTTACCGTTTCAAAAAAAAGATTAATGAATAATTAAATTCCAATCTATATTGCAAAAATATAAACGGACCCTGTTAACATAATTGTTAAATAAAACAGTATACAGCTTTGCTAATTACAAGGTTGGTTGCACTGTACATCTTCTGTGTGAATCGTGAATCACCGATAAGTTCTCCGCCACCTGCCGCCACCGACGACTGTATGACGCATACCCAGTTCATTAAAGTGTGACGCGATGTTTTTGCGACTGCGTGCGTTTAATGTGAATATTAGGACGGTCAAATTAAAAAAGAATCTTTGTTCAAAGTTTTTAAGTTTAGTTTTGTGATGATGGAGTCCGATACAGCAGAAAATTCTGATCAAATGTAAGTTGCATAATATATTATATGTAATCAATAGCTGATATATTTTTAAAATCGTAGGGATCAACCCTGTACGTCGCGGGTCACAACTCCTATAAAAAAGAGGAAGATTCGGCATGAAATAAAACAAATATCCTATGAACAAAAGTTTAAAGTGCAATTTTTGGAAGACCCTAAATTTGCAAATTGGTTAAAAAAAACACCCTGGCAATGAAACCCTTTGTATATGTAGTACATGCGAATCGACTTTGAAATGTGGGAAATCCGAATTGGAGAAACATTTAGCAACTGAGAAACATAAAAAAAACATATAAAAAAAGAGGTGTTATGTCACTAGACGCCTTTGTAGAGAAGAAGTTCGGACATTCTCAAAAAGTATCGGAGGCAGAAATCAAATTGTCCTCGTTTTTGCCCACCACAACGTGGCTTTTCAAGTGGTGGATCATCTGATACCCATTCTAAAAGACAGTTTCCCGGATTCCAACATATTGAAGGATGTGAAATTGGGACGCACTAAAACGACAAGTGTGATAAAGAATGTCATTGCTAAGAAAGAAAGAGAAGATTTGGCCGTAGTTTTGCAACAAAACTTCTTCAGCGTACTTATTGATGAAAGCACCGATATATCGGCTAATAAACTTCTATGCGTGAATGTAAAATTTGTTAATAACAGCGGCTTAGCATGCGACCGATTGCTAAAAAAGTAATAAGTGTCGACGCTAAAAACGCTAACGCTGAAAATTTGTATACTGCCTTTAAAGAATGTTTAATATCTCAAAATATACCCATAAAAAATGTTATAGGTCTTGCTTGCGATAATGCTAGTGTAATGCTTGGTAAAAATAACTCATTTTTAACAAGGATTCCTGCAGAGGTAAATGCCTTGATAGTCTTACCATGTATTTGCCATTCATCAGCACTTGTTGCGAGCAGTGCCTGTTCAAAGTTGCTTCGAACGCCGGAAGAATTTGTAAGAAGTATTGCTAGTTATTTTTCCTATTCTTCAAAAAGAACAGCCCAGCTTATGGAAATGCAAAACTTCTTTCAAACTGAACAAAAAAAAATGTTGATATTGTCAACAACAAGGTGGCTTTCGATGCAGCATTCTGTACAAAGAGTTTTGGATAACTGGCTAGTACTTTATAATCATTCTCAGGTTGCTAAAGTTGAAGAAAATTCAAAATCTGTAGATTTCATATATGAAGAATTTAACAATCATTGCACTGAAGCAATCCTGTTATTTTTAAGCTATATTTTGAATTTTTCTAACACCTTTAATGCACTATTCCAGAGCAAGAAACTTTTAGTTTATGATTTATCTTTTGAGTGCAAAAAAATTTTCAAGCAAGTGATTGCACATTATATAAAGCCCGAGTATTTAACTGATTTGAAGCTTAACTACACAAATACACGATATTTTGTTGATTTAAAAGATCCTGATGTTGGTAATGAATGTAACGCTTTTGTTTTGAATTTGCCTGACATCGTTAGAAAATCAATTCAGAAGTCTTGCTTAGAGTTTTTGATAACTGCCGCAACGGAAATGCAATCAAGATTTCCTCTTTGTGATGATTTTTTTGATTCCCTTACATTTTTAAAGCCCCACATAGCCTTCAGTCTCGATAAACCTGAAAACATAGTCTCATTAAAAAGTGCATGGAACAAATTTGCTTCTGTTATTGATGGAAACAAAGTTGACCGAGAGTGGAAAAATTTTGCTATAAATTTTTCAGATGAGGCTGCATTAAAAGAACATTACTTAAACTTATCTGTAGAAACAAAATAGGAAGTGAATCATTAAATGCCGTATGTGTTACAAGATCTTCGTCTGATAATTGCTGCCAGTCATTTAAAGTAACTAGTGAGCATCTTAAACTATTGAGCCAAAAAATGTGTACTCAAAAGATTAGTGGCAAGTAATGTATTATTTTAAGTTAGATAATTAAGAAAATTCCGTTTTTTAATCTAATAAAGTTTTATTTTTAAATGTAATTTTTAATATATTTTTTTAAACCATATTATGAATTCAATATGTAATACAGAAAAAATTGGCGGCGGCGAGTAGACAGAAAAAAGAGGGTAGACTTAGAAAATAAAAATCTAGGGGATTCTAAGGGAAAAAATAGAATGTTAGGGATTTTTAGCAGAATTCGTCTGGCAACACTGTCCTCGCGCCGTAGCTAGCCGGCAAGTGGCGAGTTTCTCGTGTTCTTCGTTCTTCAGTAGTTCAGTACCCTCAGTACTTGCGGTACCTGCTCAGTACGTTTAAGGCTACTGTCAGACTGCATCCGTGTTTGACCGATTTTTACACTGGCGTATACGGCCGATAACGCCAGAAAAAAACAAATGCGGCAAACTTATTTGGAGATGGTCACAGTTGCGCCGTGCAGCACGGACTTATTCGGCCGACTGACGGTGGAAAATAAATTATTTTGTTTTTTCCGGCCGTATACGCCAGTATTTGTGTTGCAGTCTTCAAGTTTATACAGTAATCACGAAATATGGTAGACATAGAAAAAATTCTTTCCTTGGTTTATGACCGAAAACCATTGTTGGATGTGGGCAGTAAAAGCTTCCACAATAGGGACGTAGGAAGAAAGCTTTGGCGGGAAATAGCAGAGGAATTGAACAGCACAAGTAAGTATTTTATTAATTTTATTTATTTTAGTAAACATATGCGTCTATTTCGTTGTCCTGAAAATCTGTCGCCCCTACTGTGTTGAAATATGTTTTAAATTGGTCGCGAATGTAATAAGCATCTCTTCCTGCTCTATTGAAGCATCTTGGTCCCCTGCTTGTCGATCTTGCATCTTTTGCAGTATTGGTTGAGTTGTTTTTTTGCAATGTACCTTCATTGATTCCCTCTATATCTATGAGAATGTTGTGCAATAAGCAAGTAGTCATGACCAATTCGTCAACATGATGAGGTTCAACTTGTAACTCTGTCTTTAAGCATCTCCATTTTGAAACAAGTATGCCAAATGCACATTCTACAGTTCGTCTGGCTCGACTAAGCCTATAGTTATAAATTTCAATTTCACGAGGAAGCTCCTCCTGTCCTGTTGGATAAGGGCGCATTAAATACTCTTTTAGAGGATATCCTTGGTCACCAAGTATGACGTAAGGTAGCGTCATGGTAGTTCCGGTTATCTGTCTTGGTTGTGGGAAAGGAAAATATCCTGTTTCTATATGTTGGAACAGATTAGATTCTGAAAACACACCACTGTCACTTTGCCTACCATAGGCTCCAGCATCCACACTTAGAAATTTATATTGCGCATCAACCATTGCTTGAAGGACCACAGAGAAGAATCCTTTATAATTGAAGTGTTTCGAGCCAGTTTTTTTCTGGCATTTAATGCGCACATGTTTGCCATCGATACTGGCAACACAGTTTGGGAAGTTTCATAACTGCTCATAGTCCTTTGCACTATTTTCAAGCAATTCTGCTGTAGGAAAAGGCATATGTTTCTCACTAAAACATTCCCAAATGGCATCACAGGTCTCATAAATTATTCCTGCAATAGTGTTGTGTGCAATCCGATAGGAAAAAGCCAAAGATCTAAAAGCCATCCCCGTAGATAGTAATCTCTAAAGAAAACAAATTTCGTAAATACAAAGTTCACTCCAACTGAAAGTTATGAATTTTACGGGGTATTCTTTTATTTCAGGTGAAGTAACCAAAGGGAAATGGCAAAATTTGAGAGATAACTTTCGCAGAGAACATGCAAACATTTCGAAGGCGCCTACAGGTAGTGCAGCTCTCGGTAATACTCAAATCTCTTCGTGGAAATCATACAAACAACTTTCAATCCTAATCGGCGCGTTTTCTTCCCGAAGAATGAAGACAAATATCCCTTCCGGGTTAAGCCAAACTTCAGAGCTAGCTGATATCCTAAATGAAGAAGAAGAAGAAGAAGACGTAGCAAGGGCATCTAACAACACCATTGATCCTAATTGTGCGATCAGCAACAGTACTGTTGAAACACAACAATCACAAACCCTCTTAGATACTGTTCAAACAGACCCGTTTCGTGGTCCCAGTGTAAAGTCGTTCAAATAGTGTAAATGATGTTTTAATTTTATATGTGAGCCCCTTAAAAGCCAAATGGTGTAAGTCACACGAAACGCATTTGGATATATTCAATCTTTTATTGCATTTAATATAGAAAATTGTTAAATGTTAAAATTATTAATCTAAGAATAAAGCACATATTTCCTAACTATATAACATAACAAGGTTTTTTTTAATTTTATTCTGAAATTTCTATATTAAATGCAATAAAACATTGAATATATTCCAATTCGTTTCGTGTGACTTACACCATTTGGCATTTAAGGGGCTCATGTAAAATTGGGTGTGTCCCTCCAAGCTTTGCGCTGCGTACCATTGATAAAGGCTGAAAATGCAACGTTTGGAAATAAATATGTTATAATTTCAAATACCTAACTTATTATTCAGCAATTATATGTGAACCAAACTTCAAGAAAAATTCGTAAAATATAATATATTTTTTTAGATATCTGGCTACGGGCTCATCCTTTCGGAGTATTGGATTTCCGAATGGCTAATAATACAGTTGCCGGTATTGTACACGAAACATGCAGGGCGATATGGGAAAATCTTGGAGAAATCCACATGAAATTTCCATCGAATGAGGAAGCAATTCAAATTACAGATAACTTTTGGAAGCGGTGGAAGTTCCCAAATTGTATAGGATGCATTGATGGGAAACATATCCGTATCAAAGCCCCTGCAAACTCTGGCAGCATGTTCTACAATTATAAACATTTTTTTTCAATCGTCCTACAAGGTATTGCTGGCCCAGACTATAGATTTATTGCAATAGAAGTTGGGGCTTATGGCAAAGAAAGCGATGGTGGGATATTTTCGAATTCACGTTTATCGAAGCGGTTAGAAAATGGTTCCCTCAATGCTGCTTCTGAACGACAATTGCCGGGTACCAACGTATTTTTGCCTCACGTACTAATAGCAGATGAAGCATACCCTTTAAAAACGTACTTAATGCGCCCCTATCCTGAAAGAAGCTTAGGACCTGAGGAAGAATACTATAATAGACGTTTGTCATTAGCTAGACAAGTCGTTGAATGTGCCTTTGGAATAATGACTAGCAAATGGAGACTACTAACTAAAAGTATGGAAGTTCACCTCCAAAAAGCTGACATTATTATCCAATGCATATGCCTTGTTCATAATATTGTTATTGACAGAGAGGGTATACCTTTGAACATTGAACCCACACCGAATGGCCTCCAACAAAACGCAGCCATTCGAGCACGTAACAGGTGAAAACCATGCTGTCAGAAGAGCATATGCTATTCGAGAACAATTTAAGTCTTTTTTCAATAATAATCGTATATAATTTTTTCTAGCATTAAGAAGAAAAATATTCTGTACTTAAAAAAATTAATGTTTGTTTACAAAATACATACCTGTACACTTCATTTCTGATGCTATTTCTTTCCAAGCCTTTCTTTGCAAATCTCTCGAATGGTAATTTTCACTATTTAAATTCCACAAACACTCTTGTTCGTGAACCAACATGATTAGTCTTTCTGTATCCATTTTCGTCTGCAGTGTGAGAACAGATATGCATTTACGTAAGTTGGGAACCTTCGTGTGTAATCGGACGATTACACACGACTCCAAGTCGCACATAGTCGGCTCCAGTATGAGCGTACCCTAAGCCGGCAAGGAATTGCGTAAGTCAAGTCTATGGCAAGACCCGAAATATCAATTTTCTTCCCTTCAGGGGGAAAATTCTTCTATTTCGGCTCTGTGCCTACGGCCTGACCGTTCAGATCTGTTTATGTTCTGCCGGCTAGGGGGGCGTACTGTGAAAGTGTACCCTATAAATCTCCGAATCGAAAAAATCGTAGGTCCGATTTTGAAATATTTATTAATGATAGTTATGTAGGTTTTGAACATTTTGGCGTAAAATGCCAGTAAACTGAAAACATATAATGATATAAACATAAGGAACATTCTGCCTGACTAGGTCATTGAACAAATGTATGGTTGTTAGGTAAGTAACAAAAAACTAAACTTATTAGTCTTTCAAAAACTTATGACACAGCTAGATTACCTGTTTACTTCAAACAGGAATAAAGGAACTCAATATTGGTTTCGGTCTTTTGACAACACCGTATGGAGCTTTTTTGACTTATTTGTAGTAATGCTTAAAAAGGTTACTAGATCCCCTCCAGCTTCCTTTCTTTAACACTTCATCCAGAGGTAAACTGTCATTGAGCCTTGATGTAGCTACTGCTGATCTGGTACTGCCTGCTGCATTTTCTATTCCAGCTGCCAATAGCGCTGTTTGAACCCAACCTGCTATTACCTACCGTGAAGCAGGTCCCGTTTAGCCTGGAGTTGTGACAAATAAAGACGGAAAAATGTGTTGTTTGAAGACCTCCTCACATCTGAAACCTGTCTATAATTTGCTAAGCAGGTCACCACGTCCCACAAGGGATCTGCATTTCTCTTCAGTTTCCAACCTGATTGTCTATTGCTTGGACCATCTGCCTTTGAACCGTACTGAGGCCAAAAAAATACTTCTTCTTCTGATGGTTCGAAATAGCCCTCATCTATTCGGAAAAGTGTAAGATCGTGGACCCTGCTTCCAGACGATAATAGTAGAAGTATAGCGAAGTGTCTGGAAACCTGGAATATAGTACGTTGTTGATGTGTGGTGGATGACATCGTATCCATTCTAGAAGCTGATTGATGTCCCAAATTTTAGGCGGAGGTTTTGGGGCTCTGAATTCGCAATCGCTTTGAGTAAGGCACAGTCGTGTAATATGGCCCAGTTTCAGTCCGAGAGCAATAAAAGAATAAATACCAACAACTAAACAAAATATTTTTATTCGCAACGTGTAGAAGAACTATAAAGGAAATAAAATTTTATCCAAAAACATCAAAAAAATCAGAAACATGGGAAAAACATAGCAAAACAAAAATGTGTTATTTTGGCCATATTTCTGACTTTCGCTGAAATATGGCCCAAGTAGGGAAGCGTGGTCAGCAATATGGCCCTCAATGAACTTAATTATTCAGACGAACAATTAGGGCAATAAAACACTTCTGGGTCCTCGGCAGTCAATCCTACGCATATTTCGTGGATCCACAATAGGCAACTGGCGCACTGTCGCATATCACTTACAGAATTTCACTGTTCCCATATCAGGCGTTTTCAGGATATCCGAGAAATTCAAAAGTTTCTCAGGTGCTGAACATTTTGCTCCTTTATTTACGGAGTCCTGCATTTTAGTCTTGATAATAGTTACATTTAAAATATTAATTTTTGTATTCGTATCAGATGTAATAGCAGACCCTTGTTGATCAGTCCAGTGAGAACAACCAGCACTCGATTTTTCCTCTATTTTCCTTCTTGTTGATGGATTATTATTCTTAAGGAAATATGCAAGTGGCAGATCATCATCTGAGCTATTATAACTTTCCGATTCAGCATCCATCACTTCAGGAATGTCTTTATGTGTTAAGGTAGTTGGAGCAGAAGTAGTATCTGGAATCCGGGTCGAAGGGAAACATTCCTGTTAACCTGAAACCACTTTGAATGTTGCGTGTATTGTCATTGTTTGTTGCCAAACTTTGGTAAAAACAAGTCCAAATCTCTCCTTTTTTAATACTCTCATTGCAGCAGGATTACTCTCCCAGTATTTCATCAACTGAATATCCCAATAATGCTCGAAACTACGAAAAACCGCCTTATCCAGCGGTTGTAGTTCATGCGTCGTATTTGACGGTAAACAGTAAAGTGAAATGTCATGTTGTTCAGCCGCTTCCACGATTGAGATATCTAAATGGCAAGAGGCACTATCCAAAATCAGAAGAACCTTACCAGCAGGTTTATACTTTGACAAATGCTGCAACCATTTAAGAAATATTTCTCGTGTCATGATGCCTTTAGGAGACATTTCAAGTATCGACCCAGGAGGCAAATTGTCGCTGTAAGAGTCCTTTTTCCGCAAGCCTTTGAATATTAACATAGGCGGCACAGCTTGCCCAAGAGCGTTAACACAAGCAACAATTGTTGCATTCTCTGCATGTTCATTGCAGATATTGTGGACCCTGCGTTCCCCTTTGGATGCCAAGACTAACTGAGAATGATGTAAAGTTAGGCGGCACCCTTTTTCATCAAGATTATATATCCGTTGTGCTGAGTTTCGAATGCTTAATTCGTTAAGGACTTTCAACAATTTATCAATGTGGTCTCTCAGAATAACGGGATTTAATTTTTGAGCCCTCGCAGCATTCATGGATTGAGCTTTCCTCTTCGATAGTTTTGGATGCCGCCTCAAAAAACTTTTATACCACGTGAACCCAGCCATCTCTTTTGAGCTATTGAATTTATGTGAAATACTGTTGGTTATACAAAACTGGTAGACACTTCTTCGCACGGATTTTGGAGTGAGTGGTAGTCCTAAACGAGAGAGCCTTAAAATGCGAGCTTCCAACTCTCCCTCTTGTTCGAAAGTAAGTAAAGGTTTACGACCTAATATTCTATCGCTAAGACCAGATTTTATATATAACGTAGTTCTAGGAATTCCGCATTTTTGCTCCACGTATCGTTGGCTTTTACCGCTCCTAAGAAGTTGTAGTGCCTCCGACATCATATTTTGAGTCTAATTTCCTCGAACTCCCTACATAATTTCCCCATTTTCGACTTGAAAAACAATTTTTCGTCCAATCGGGCCCGGTTTAGTCGGTGCATTGGCCAAAATGTGCGGCCCGTCGGGCCAAATTCTGCGGCTGGTCGGGCCAAATTCTGCGGCCGTTCGGGCCAAATTCTGCATCCGGTCGGGTCAGAATTAGCAGGTGGTCGGGCCAAATTCATCAGATGGTCGGATCAATTTCTGTATCCAGTGGGATCAAGGTCCAGAGCCGGTCGGGCCAAACTGCGTAGCCGTTTGAAACATGTATCCATGGATGAGTGTGATTGACTCGAGCACTGGTTAGACGGCCATAAAACTGAATCACTGTATATAGGGTGACGGGAAAATAGATGCGGAGCCGGTGGGGGGAGATAGTACAAGCCAATCTGAGTCGGTTTTACTATAGGAACTACTATCCGAAAATTAGCCGTTTTCGAGTTATACTAATTTTTAAGACTTTATAAAATTAACGTCTCTACGGACCCATCGATTCGGAAACTGTTTCAGACGCGGACCAATCCCATGGCCAGCACCCAGTCCCAATCTCACACCTATGGACTTTTTTGTGTGGGGTCGCATGAAAACTTTAGTATTCTCTGATCAAAATCCTGTACCCATAATAGAAGACCTCAGAAACAGGATAATACATGCAGCACAAGAAATTCAAGCCTCTCTTAGGAATGTTTCGGTAGTAAAATCAGCTGTAATAAGAAGAGCACGTGTGTGCATTAGAAATAGAGGGCGCCATATTGAAAATGTATTATAAAAATAAAGAAATGTAGTTTCAACAAATTATCCTGTATTAAGGTATGATTTTGTAAGTGTAGTATTTTTATTGATTTTTCCTTCCTCCTCTTAAAATAGTCATATTTTTGCCAATTCTTAAGGCTGAAAGGTAATGAGACGTGGATGTTTTCTAATTATTTTGTACGAAAAATTTGTATGCGACTTTTTCTAGTAAACGAAGATTTTTTTAACAAAAATCGAACTATTTTGAAGCTTACTGCATGATATAACGTCAATAATGTACATTTGAGTATCAATTTTCGTATTTTAGAATATTTTTATTGTAAAACCAAAACAAAAATCAAATGAAACACCCAATTTTCAAGTTTTATGACTTGGTTAACGTATAAAGGACGTTAATTTAATAAAATCTTAAAAATTAGTATAATTCGAAAACGGCTAATTTTCGGACAGTAGTTCCTATAATAAAATCGACTCAGATTGGCTTGTCCTATCTCCCCCCACCGGTTCCGCATCTATTTTCCTGTCACCCTGTATATCCGTACGTCTGGGCATACCCCGAGAGTGTAGGAAGAGATACGTCTGAATGTCGGTAGATTAATTTGCCGTGTTGACAATCGAATGTTGCTACTATAATATCTAAAACAGAGAAAGAAAGTTACATATACTCATAAACAAGGGCGGATTCAGGATTTCGTCTAGGGGGAGGGGCGCAAACGATATTTGGGGCTGGTCATTTTTTAACCTCAGTGGAACTTTTAGAATGTATCCCATTATTGCTCCTTAAGTCCATTGTGTTCTATCTGGTCAAGGCCAGCTTGAAAAAAAAAAACATGGAAAATGCTCAGAAATCCTCAGAAAGGCAATATTTTATTATATAAGAACAAAATAAGTACGTGGCATGTATAATTAACTAGTGTAAAAATATTAAAGATTCAAACATAAAAAACTTCATTGCTGGTAACAAAAAAAATACATTCTGAGGGACTCCGAGACATATCCCAATCCATTCCACACAAAACAAAGTTTTTGATTACGAAAACGAACACGACACGGTTAGGATGGGA